CCATTATTTCCAATGGGTCTTCCAGCGTCTCCCATTGTTTCCAATGGGCAATCCTGTCCTTCCTTTTAGTACATCCCGGCTGTCCCATGGGCTCCAGGCCATTTCTGTTTCTGCACAGGATTGCCAATTTCCAAGTGGTAGCTGAAGATCTCCTGGGATTACAACTAGTCTCCATCTGACAGAGATGAATTCACCCAGAGAAAATGTCCACTTTGGAAAGTGGACTCTATGGCATTGTACCCTGTTGATGTCCCTCTCCTCCTTAGACACCCCCGCCCCCAAATCTGGATCTGGCAGCCCTATATCTGACACAATAAAACGCGTCCATCTTTTACCATCTATTTTCGATGCAACAGACTCATAACACTGTCCTATGCTGTGGAAGCTTCCTGGGTAACCCTGGGCCAGTCACACACTCTCCGCCTAGCCTGCCTCACAGGGTTGTTGTGTGGATAAAAGGGAGGAAAGAAGAACTATGTAAGCCACTTTGGGTCCCCATTTTGGTACCCCATATAAGCACCTAGGGTTGCCACCCTCCAGGTGAGGCCTAGAGATCTCCCGCTTTTACAACTGATCCACAGCTGACACAGATCAGCTCCCCTGGAGAAAATGGCTGCTTTGAAGGGTGGACTCTATGGCATTGGATCATGCTGAGGCCCCTCCCCTCCCCAAACCACGCCCTCTCCTGGATCCACCCCCAAAGTCTCCAGGTATTTTCCAACCCAGACCTGGCAACCCTATGAGCACCACAGAGCACTGAGATCTACAAATCAACACCTCTTGGTAGTCCCTGGACTTGCCTTGACTAGGGCCAGGGCTTTTTCAGCCATGGTCCCTACCTGGTGGAATGAGATTAGGGCCCTGGGGGATTTATTACAATTCCGCAGGGCCTGTAAAATGGAGCTCTTCCGCCGGGCTTTTAGTTGAGGTAAGCGGGCATGTCCCCCCCCTCTTCTGATTGGCCTCCCATCAGTGTCCTGAATTTGAACAACCATCTGGGAACTATACCATCGGTTTCAGCTACTGAGCTACTAATTGGATTCTACATGGTATTTTATGATTGTATTATGATTGTATTGTTTTAATCTTGCTTTAAGTTGGTTTTAATTGCTATTGTATATTGTTTTAACATTGATGGAACCTGCCCTGAGCCAGCTTGCAGGGAGGGTAGGATACAAGTTTAATAAAATAAATAAATAAATAGGAGAAAAAAGGGGGGTATAAATGAATTAAACAAATAAACACTGGCCTGGTATTTCTTGTGAAGCATTGCAGTTTCTTCTTGAGGAGGAATTACACACAATGCACAGTTCCCTGATATATAAATGCAATGCAGTGCCTGGGATGCAATTGGAATGGGAAAACCAGCCCAGGAGGAAGAAGCTGTTCCATCCATCTCTCTGCCCTAGCTGCTTATTTGATGGAAAACCACCCCCACTCAAGTGAGGGAGGGGGGGAGAAGGCAGACATGTCTCCTTAAGTTTTCCCCAGCAGGGGTAAAAATAGCTTGGGCTGCCATGGAAAGGTGAGGGGGAAATTCCCCCACTGGTGGCTTTCAACATCCAAAATGGTGTGCAGACTCTAATCTGGGAGAACCGGGTTTGATTCCCCACTCCTCCACTTGCACCTGCTGATGTGACCTTGGTTCAGTCGCAAGCTCTGGCACAGCTGTCCTTGAAAAAGAGCAGTTTCTGTCAAGAGCTCTCTCAGCCCCACCCCACCTCACAGGGTGTCTGTTGTGGGGAGGGGAAGGGAAAGGAGTCTGTAAGCCGCTCTGAGACTCCTTTGGGTAGTGAAGGGTGGGGTATAAATCCAATCTCTTCTCTTCTTCTTCTTACAGCATTCTCCCGTTCTCCATTTGATCCTCACAACCATTTTGTGAGGTAGTCTGTGCTGAGCAAGTGTGACTGGCCCAAGGTGACCGAGCAAGCATCCACAGTAGAATGGGGAGATTTGAACCTCGGTCTCCCAGACACTCAAACCACACCGGCTCTCAGTTTTATTTACTTATTTGCCGTCAAGTCTCAGCTGACTTATGGCAAAGCCCATGGGGTTTTCAAGACAAGAGATGTCCAGAGGGGTTTTTGCCCTTGCCTGCCTCTGCCTAGCAACCCTGGAATTCCTTGGCAGTCTCCCATCCAAGTACTAACCAGGGACAACCCTGCTTAGCAGCTGAGATCTGATGAGATCAGGTCGGGCCTTTTCACAATTGCATTTTTAAAAAACCAGTTACCACCAGAGCGTTTCTTGTTTCTTCATTCCTGTCCACTGTAAATCATACCGCCTAGTTTGGCCCTCGGGGAATGCCTTTAGAAGACAAATTTTGGAGTATGTGTGGGTGTGGGGTGAGTAGGTGCATCTTGTCTGTAGCATGCCTTCATACAGAAATGGACGTTGTGCATAAGGCCTCCCATTTCACACGCTTCAGCTGCTTGAGGTTGTTCTAAGCGGTTTATCTATTGCAGTTTTACACCTTCCTCTTACATAGTTCTTCTGTTTTCCATTTCATCTTCACAACAACTCTGGGAGACAGGTTAGGCAGAGAAACTGGCCCAAGGTCACTCAATTGCTGAGCAGTCGGGTTAGAACGGATAAAAGGAAGTACTTCACCTGAAGAGTGATTAACACATGGAATTCACTGCCACAGGAGGTGGCGGCGGCTTACAAGCATGGCTTCAAGAGAGAATTGGATAAACATATGGAGCAGAGGTCCACCAGTGGCTATTAGCCACAAGGTTGTTGACATCAGGGGTCATTTCGTAGAAAAAGAGCTAGGGGGACTCATTAGCATAACTCATTAGCATATGCCACACCCCCTGACATCACCGGAAGTGTGTCCTCCCCACAGCCGGCGGCGACCTCCAGCGGGCACCAGCAGGGAGCTCCAGGCCCCGCCCTCCCACACCTCACCCGGGGGGGATGGCGTCCCCCCGCGTCCCCCCCCCAAATGACCCCTGGTTGACATACTGTTCTGTATGGGGACAAGATGACAGCCTGGTAAGTTTAAATGGTGTAGATCATCCTGATCTGGCATGACAGCAGAGTGAGTCACATGATATGTCACCAGGTACAGGGGAAGTGATGTGTGGGGAGGATGTGGACAGTGCAGCAAAGCTCAGACTGAAAACGGGGATCTTTGGAGGATACAGGGCTGGATTAAGGCCAACTGATGCCCTAAACACAGCCCAACAATGGTGCCCCTCGTCCCTTCCACTGCTTCACTGACAAGAC